ACGACTCCAGACCCCTCATCACTTCCTACTGCGTCACTCTCTCCTTGCGATAGACCCACTGCGAACAACTTTTCGGAACCTTCTCTTAGCGGCGAAAGCACCACTTCCTAACTGTTCCTCGCCTAATAAGAAGGAACACACGTCCCTTCGGGAATTGGTATCCGTTTACGCTTCCGACGGATCGAGGCTACGTTTCAGCGAGGCACTCAACGATCTATGCGCTCAGTTATTTCCGCACCGCTGAAGACCAACGAAAAGACGACCGCGGGCACAAACCACAACAAACAACGGAGGCGACTACAATATGGTCATATACAACGTCTATACCACACCCGCCGGAAGGATGCAGCAGCCACTGTCATCAACGGTAGATGGCGCACCGCTTTTTTGAAGAGAATGAAAACACTCCTGGCTTCAACGACTTTTGGAAGCACGTCCTTGCTCGACCTCCTACTTCAGACACCCGTCCACCTCGCCAAGTCGTTTCACTGAATCCGAATCTTGTGAGTCCCATCTTGTGCAAAGAGATGAAACGAGTGCTGAAGCAGATGCTGGGATCTGCTCCCGGTATCGACCGCATTACACCAGCTGAATTGACTCGGATGGATCCCCTCTTTGTGACCTCCTTTCTCAACTGCCTTCTTGCTTTCTGCCCCTTCCCGTCTCACAGGAATGCAGCTAGAATCACGTTGGTGCCCAAGGTTCCACAACCTCGATCCCCTGACCAATTCTGTCCCATCTCTGTTTCTTCAGTATTTACCAGGCTCCTCCATCGAATCCTTTTCGATCGCTGGGTACCTGCGTTCCAAATCGATCGACTACAATTCGGATTCCTTCGGAAAGAGGCGCGCTTGAAGTCCCAGCCATTTTTCATGTTGCCCTTCGTTATTCCCACTCTTCAATAACTCCGCTCTCCTTCGTGTCCGTGGATGTGCCTAAAGCCTTTGATTCCAATTGCCACCAGTCTCTACTTCGTGCTGCCACTGCTTTTGGAGCCCCACAAATCTTGATCCACTACCTGGCCTAATACTATCTGTCGGCCTACTTCACTTTTAGTGACATCCGACTTCATCCAAATCGAGGAGTCCGACAGGGATACCCTCTTTCTCCCTCGCTTTTTATCATGGCCCTCGATGAAGTGTTAGAAGGTGTAGCTACGAATCCATGGAGATCTACTGCGGGACCCAACAGCTACCCCGCCTACGCTGATAATGTAATTATCTTCGTCGAGGATCGCTTGTTCCTAAGGGAGCATATATTACAATTCGAACAACGCCTGCAAGACACCGGCCTTGCTATCAACCACTTCAAATCCTTTACAGTAAACTGCGCCTGACAGGGCACGCAAGATGACAATTCTCAACAACTCTGAGCTCAACTGCGACGGGTTTTTCCATCAAATCTATACAACCAGATGAATAATTCACTATACTTGGACTCAAATTTAACTGGAAGGGAAAGATGCCGCCAACAACCATCGAGGACATCAGGAACCAGCTAAACGAGGTGACCAAAGCGCCACTTAAACCACAACAACGAATCGAAATCCTGCGCACATTTTTGCTTCCTTGTCATATACACCAACTCACTCTCGCAGTTTTACATCGCAATACCCTCAAACGTCCGGATCGGTTGGTGCGCTCGGCTGTACGCAAGTGGCTTCGTTTACCACCTGACACTCCCATTGCGTACTTTCATGCGTCAATTGACAACTTTGGCCTCGGAATCCCATGCCTTCCGACGAATATTCCCCTACTACGGAAAGAGCGGCTTGAGAGACACTTAGCTAATAGCCATCCAATCACCAACTGGGCGATCTGTGACCCTGCCGTTGCATCTATCCATCGTCTTGCACGATCGACTGTCACTATTTCCAATCGTGTCGTCATGGATAAGAGCTCGGAGTCGGAAGCCTGGAAGGAGGCCCTACTCTCCTCAGTGGACGACGCCCCTCTGCGGGAGGTTACTACTGTTCCATCTGCTCATCAATGGCTGAGAACCCCAACAAGAATATTTAATCGCCTCTTCATCCGTGGAGTCCAACTTCGAGGGGGACTACTCTCCACTAAGGCTAGACCGACCCGTGGTCGCACGCCTAACGACCCTTCTGCGTTACTTTGTCGGGGAAATTGTGGACAGAAAGAAACATTATCGCACGTGTTACAATCGTGTTGCATTACCCACGATGCCCGCTGCCATCGTCATAACGAGCTGACCACTACAATTGTGAAGAAGTTACGCAGCAATAAGCTCCACCCCGTCGTTGAACCTCGCATCCCGATGACATCGACTTTCCTAAAACCAGACTTGCTACGTTTTAGGAACTCCCAGCTGCATGTGATGGATCTCGCTGTTTGCGACGCAGACAGGATGGCACGAACATATCAAATGAAAATCGACAAATACGGTAAAGGGGCAAACGCTGCGACTATACGTCGCTATATGTAGGAGCACTTCCCCGGAACGACGGCTATCGTTCCTCACCCCAATGTCTTAAACAACCGTGGAACGTTATATCCGCCCTCCGCAAAACATCTCACAACACTGGGATTTAACAAATTTGACCTTTCAGACCTCTGCGTTGCCACTATTAGACTTTCCCGCAAAATTTATGATACGTACATATGCGGAGCATCTCCAAACATACCCCAACTCAACTTGCATCCAAGGCGACAATGACCGTGGTTCCGTCCACACGGTTTGAAATTTTTATTTCACTCAGTGTTTCGATTCTGCCGGGGCATTCGCCCTCTCTTGGCATATTGCTGTACTGCCCAAATCTCGGGCCATGCATGCTTTTGCCAAAAATAGATTTTCCTAGCCAAATATCTCGTCAGCTAATTAGTGACGCACATGAATGGATTAACGAGATTCCCACTGTCCCTATCTACTATCCAGTGGCAGCATACTTGCCACCTCGATTGGTGGCGGCCTGCAAAGGAAGTCGTTGCTCTGGGGGCCAGTCCTGTCCTCTGCACATGCATAACATGCAAGACAGTGGAGGATGAGCCGCGCTATATCCCAGTCAGATTTCAGTCATGGCGGTCCGCTGCTGTCACCCATGGCTCAGTGTCATAAGTCGCTGACTCGCAAGAGTAAGGTCGTGTGTTTGAATCCGGCAGGATTCGGCGGGTTCGCGCTACTGAAAAGGCCCAATAGGACGAAACGGCAGTCTAACGCTTTCCTGGATGTGTGGTGGCTGTCTGTCTGTGTCTAACTGCGACGAATCTACACAAAAAGCTGAAGCTCATTGTTGGTGCAACTCATGCACGTAGTTAATTTAGTGAAGTCAAATCTGACTGCGAGTAGCAATCGCCGGGTGGCTTGTCTCGCTTTATTTGACAGGCCAGTTTGCAGTGTTCATTACGTTGTGCAGAGCAGACGTTCCGTGTTTAGTTTTGTCAAATTCAGTTTCTTTTGCGATGCTGAAGTTGTTTAGCGTGTATTAGTCTCGTGTCCGTGTATTTTACTGTGATATTTGTATCGTGTACTTATCGTTCACTTTATCACCCTTACCGTCACATCTGCTAAGCTATCAGTAATAATAAAGCTGACTCCCCGTGGCACTTGTTGCAAAATAGTTGGGCATAGAGCCAATGCTGTTACATGCCTCATATGTGGTGTGAATTTCCACATTTCGCGTATTGGTTTGTCTTTAGATCATTTTAAACTATTGCGTGAAATCCAGCATGATTATGTCCAAACATTGTGCAAGAAATGCCAAGCTACTGTGCAGTCACAAACAGCCGAGAAGCCGCGCGAGCCTACAAGACGGCCGAAACATTCCATAGGGAGGAGCTCCGTGGGTTGATGTAAGCAAGCGGAAACCCAGTCACCTTTATGTTTGAACGAGCCCACCTGCACACTAGCTGCAGACTCTCCAGCGCGATGTCTCCCTGTTTCTGGAGGCTCAGCTGGGGTGTTTATGTTGTGTCCTACGGACACTAACATACCGGTGTGCCATAGTGCAGATGTTGAAGGCCAATGGACAAGACAGCAAAGCAAAAAGGAGAAGACAACTACCAGCAATCAGCGGCATGGTAACCTTATGAGATTTCACGAGCCTGAATCGACAGATGTTAGTTCTCAGGCTCGTTATGACCACGACGTGGATTTTCTGCAGAGCCTGGTTGATCGGCTTCTCGACGTGAATGAACAGAGATTCCGGGTGAAGCAAATCACCGGTCTTGGAAAAAGAGAGTACGGGAAATCCCGGCCTCTACGATTCACGCTCGTTGACGAAACGAGTCCGAGGCTGATACTGTCCAGCATCGGCAGGCTAAGAAGTCTAAATATCCATATTCGTCCCGATTTGGATCCGTCGGACAGAGAGAAACCGAAGTCCGCTATCGCGAAGTTGAAGCGCTGGAGTAATACTGGAGAAACCAATCACATTGTAAATTTTCGGGTAATTACCCCGGGTCCGCCGAACCCGGATCAACAGATCGATGACGCTTCATGCACATCGGCCGGTTCCTACCGCCGCCTGCGCGTAGCCTTCACAAATGTTTGTAGTTAAATGAACAAACGTGACGATGTGCTTCACTTTGTTGCTTCACGTCGTCCGGATGTACTAGGACCGGTAGAAATCTGGTTAAATCCGGAGGTCACTACCCAGAAAGTCCAGATCAGTGGCTACTCGTGCATTCGGTTCGACAGACTATCAAACGATCGAAGCAACGTGCTGTTATGCATTCCGTCCTCGCTGTGCAGGAGACTGCTACACACCTACCGTAGCGAAGATGGCTTATGCGAACAGTTATGGTGCTCGATCCGCCTGAGACAGGGTGAACTGTTTGTGGCTAAGGCTTATCCCAGGCCGCGAAGTCGATGCCTGGATTGGTTGCCGCATGCCAGAAACTACATAAGTCAGCCCCGCTTCCTGCTAAGGGAGGATATTAATTTCGTTTGAATAGGATGGCCTGAAGCTCAACTACCCAGAGGCGCAGTTTGTGGAGATGGTGTTTGAAACTGAGGCAGCACAACATGCCGTCAAACGACGCGCGTTACAGCGCATTCCGCTTCATCGTGCCTTGGCTAACGAGTTGCGAGCAACGTGTATATTAAATTCAGGTCCTGGAGCCACTGGCAGCTAGTGACCACCCGATGGTGTTAGCCAGCCTTGAGCTGCCGATGCCCTACACGCGTCTGCCGGAGCCGTTCTACAAGTATTGCAAGACGGACTTCAATGGTCTAAATCGAGTCGCAAGTGAAGTAGACTGGCCGCTGTTGCAGGATTCCTCCGTTGAAGCCTGTTGGTCTGTTATAAAAGAGGGTGTGCAATCGTTGTGCGCTCGTTTCGTACCCCACAAGTGTCGGAAAGCCGGACCAGTGAAGCCACATTGGTTCGACAAAAAGTTTAGTCACTTGGCTCGACGGCGACGCGTATCGTGGAATACATTCCTTGTGTCTAGCTCTGCCGAAGATTATGACGCGCACAAATAGCAGCAGAATCTATGCAACTGGCCAAAAGGGCGAAAGCGTCAGCAGTTCGAAGAGGAGCTTGCAACCTCAGCGAAGATGGCCCCCAAGAAGATGTTTGTTTACGTGAAGCGGCGCCTGAGGCCCGTACGTAACGTAGCTGTGTTAGAGGACACTGACGGACAGCCTCTAACCTCCAGCACTGAACGTGCGTCCGCATGGGCGGAGCACTTCGCTTACTATATACGAGTGGGCATGCGCCTATGCCGAGCTAGACTTGTGCGGCCGCTACTGAACTCGAGGGTTTTGACTGCGGTGTAGATGTCCGCAGTCTACTCGCCAGTCTTAATGACAAAACCTGCCGAACCCCATGGACTTCACTCGCTAATTTTGAAGTCCTTATCAGCTATCATCTCGCCCGCCGTGACGGAGCTGTATAACAGATCGCTCTCCGACGTTACATTGCCGAGCGACTGGAAATGCTCGGTAGTGAAGCCGAGTAAAAAAGTTGGTGACCCACGTAATGTGGACAATTACCGGCCGATTTGTCTCACCTCTGTATTGGCGAAGGTGCTCCAGAAGATGGTGAAAAAGGGTCTTCTACAGCTGCTGGAGTCGAAAGATTTCCCAATGCCGGCATAGAACGGCTTCATGAATGGCCGCTCGTGCATCACCAAGCTGTTGTTGACGCGGCAGGAATGGTTGCAAGCGCTGAACCGCGGAAATCTGTGGATTTTATCTACATTGATTTCAGTAAAGCTGTCGATAAAGTGAACCGTGAGGTCCTATTCCATTAAGTGAGGATTTGTGGTGTTGGTGGCGCCCTGCACCAGTGGATCAGTGATTTCCTTATTGGGAGAAGATAGCGAGTACAGCTGGATGACCAACTAACAGAATGGTACCCAACCATTAACGGCGTACCCCAAGGCACAGTACTGGGGCCAATTTTATTCCTGATGCACATCAATGAAGTACCCCATCTTCTTCGGTCGCCCTGCGCATTATTTGCGGATGACCTGAAGATTTGGGGGAATATTAATTTTCCCGGCACCTGTGACGTCTTTCAGCAGGGCCTAGACCGCATAACCCGGTGGTCTGCGGATACTTGCAGGTTGAAGATTTTGGAAGCCATGGCCCAAGGTCGATGTGAATGGCGGACGTGTGCATCGGTTTGTTGCGGTGCCCTTCTTCCTCCCCCTAAAATGAACACACTGAAAAAATTACAAAAACTGGGAGCGGTAAAATAGACAAAACAAGCATTTGTTGTTGCTCTTTTCTTACAATTCACATTGACACAATGTCCATACCACAGATTGTATGATATATATATATATATATATATATATATATGCACAACGGCCCTTTTAACTCCTGGGTACCAAGCGGTTGCTCCTCATAATATTCCACACTCGTTCGTACATTGGATTGAACAATTGGGTGTAGTGATCAACAATTATCCCTGGGGTTCAAGTACTCTGCAACGCTTTCTCGCTTTGGAATGCAGTTTGGAAATTCGGTGTCTAAGACCCAACAACTTTTGTTGCAAGTGTCCACACGTTGGCTCGTACGTGTAAGCTGAATAATCCCGGCAAGTCACTGACTAGCGATTAACATGCTGATGTTGATGCTACATGTTCCATTTCCTATATTAGTCACAAGAATGAGTGTAGCTATATTTTCCGCTATACATCGCTCATACTGAAGTTAGGATAAGGCAGCTATTATGGAGATAAGGTGAGGAAGAGCAAACGTTCCTTCGACAATTTGAATTAGAAATTACCAATCATCTAGATTGACTTAAAAGTAGGTTAGTCCAACTGTGGTGTTACGTTAGAGTCTAAATAAATGTTTAATTGGAAAATAAATCCAGCACAGCAACAATTGATTTGTCACGAAGAATAGCTGCAACCGAGATGTATGATGACAGATTGTTAGTAAATTGTAAGTGGTAAAATTTCGATGAGAAATCCAGGTCGCATGGGAATATAATACGTTCAGTTAACCACCTTATCGGCGCCATCTGCCCAGGCACTTGATACCCATTGTTTGTCTACCCTCATATGATTAACTTTGCAATGTTCACTGTTTTCATTGCAAATCACAACATGTGTATGGAGATTTAATCGTTCATTCTTTTCTCAAGCCATGTCTAAGTGGTTCCATTTCAATCCCCGCTATGAAGATACCATAGTGCCCAGGTGTCCCACGACATACTCATTTGACATATTAGATAAATAAATGTTGTGCAAGGTACTACTGGTAAATTTGCTAAAACAGTTTGCACACTCTTTCGAAAGTCGATGACAGAACAGGGAGCAGCGGAATTTACTACATGTGTTGGTGATGTGATAGTGTCAAGGGGGCCATCAGGAAATGTATGATATTATCGTCTACTATAGCAAGACAGCATGTACAATACACAGGAACCATAAGTCATCTGTGTCTTACGGTACATTTAGTTGTGCGTCATTCTACCTGGTAACCATACTCACGGCATTGGTTTCCGTATTCGAATTAATGCCTCAAGCAATTGTTGATACACACGATTAGGAGAACAGCGATTAGACATTCATTTATTGTGACCGAGCTCGATAGCTATTCTTTACTCTTCCTATTTTCTATTTCTTGATTGTTGTTTAAACGCTCTACTGGGTTCGCCCGATTGGTACATCCGCGTCATTGTTAATGGACACTCATCGTCATGCCCTTCTAAGCAGCGCTGTTTGCAAGAACCTATTCTACTGGTTTTTTCTTCCCATCACAAAAAGCTCTGACAATTAAGTGTTCAAATGTACCAGAGCCCACGAGCGAGTCGTTAAAAGGTAGGCAAGTGGAAGAACAAAACCGCTGGGCAGAGATATGCTGGGCTCTAGAAATTAACCTTCCTCCAACTAGTCTTACGCGCATTTCCCGAAATTCATCCTCGCCGCATTTAGGACAATCTCGGGTATTACGAGTAACATTTAGTAACACACGCGAACTGGAGGATGTGCTCCTGACAGGCCACAAGCTAACGAATTCCTCTCTCAGCGCCCGCATTTTCCCAGATAAACCATGGATAGAAAGGCAAAAATGGAAATCCGACCCAGTCGCATCACGACATGATGCGACGAAGAAAGTAGTGCTGGTCCACGGTGTTCCAGAACTTAACCATGGTGATATAAATGAACATCAGAAGCACGATATAGAAGAGTGGAGGTACATAACGGAGCTCTACAACATACAAAATATCGTGACTTTCGATGTCACCCGTCTAGCGGCCTCCTTAAACTATCAGGGTAACGGGCCAAAAATTTTGAAAGTCACCGTGGCTACACCTGAGATGGTATCAACGGCCGTCCAAGCGTGGCACGACAACAGAAAACGTGGGCCACCTGAAGTACGTTTAAGACCGTTCCTAAACAAAGTACGGGCCACAGATACAGACGAACCGGACTCGGTTGTTCCTAACTCAGGTCAGACAAATGTGCAAACGCCTCTGACAAAAAACGTACGCAGACCGGCACAATCCGTGTCGGTCAACCACAACGAACCGAGCTCCTAATGTGTCAACAGATACAGTGCTGCGACACAAACGCTCAGGGACTCAACTCTAAGCTACCTGAATTGCGCCATCGACATAACACAATCAATCGGGATATCATAGCTGTAACTGAAACCTGGCTCTCCAGTGGCATGCTCGACACGGAAATCGAAATCAGTGATATGTCAGTTATTCGCAATGATCGTCCATCTTGCGGTGGCGGCGTTGCTCTGTACTATCGGAATCGTCTGAGATGTGAGGCTATTAACAAACGTCACCTTGCTGTCTCCGACGCTTTGTTTTGCCGAATGCAGCTAAATGGCCGAGGTGGTGAACCTTCGAAGAAGACGTGGGATGATTGTCTGTTGGCAGTTGTCTACAGGCCACCGAACTCCACCGCAGACAGAGATGACATTCTGTTAAACGCGCTTCATTATGCAGTTTCTCAAAAGTACTCACATTGTCTAATCATGGGCGATTTTAATGTACCCTCAATTGTCTCAGCGACTTCTAGTGGTCCTTACTTCAAATCAAAGATTCTCGAGTTTATGGATACAGCAGCTCTGTACAACCACGTGCACCGACCAACTAGACACAGCGGTTCAAATAAGCCATCGCTTCTGGATTTAATCCCAACCAACGAAGAGTTGATGATTGAGACAATTTCATACGATCCACCATTAGGCAACAGTGACCACTCAGTGTTAAATTTTGCCTATGTGTGTTACGCCAATACTACTGAAATCAGACATGAAAACCGACGAACTATAACCAACTATTCCGTGCTTCACAGCCTAGCGACAACCGTCAACTGGGACCTCAATCTGCAGAGCACGGCAGACGACGCGTGGAACGAACTAAAAGACAAAATTAGCTGTGTCAAGCAAGCAGCCTGTAAAGTCATACCATTACGAGTGCCGCGCCGGACCAACACCTGGATCCGAAGCAGAACGCGCAAATGGATTAGCACTAGAGACGAGATTTGGAGAAAATACGCGCTGAACAATTGCGACGCCACCTGGGAGAATTACAAAATAGTGAGGAACTATTGCACATCACTGATCAGAGCCGATAAGTACGAATGGCAAAAAAACATGGTACTTAAGTTCACAAACAATACAAAACTGCTGTACAGGTACGTGAACAGCAGAAGGAAAGAAAAAACAGGAATACCACCACTCAAGACGGATGGTGGCCTAACGACTACTGCTGTGGATGCTGCGAACGCATTACTTCTGCAGTTTGGCACAGTGACTGTAAACGCCATAGAACGTTTGCCAAACCAGCATTCACCCAACGTGGTCGGCATATCAACTGTCACTTTTACCTCAGCAGCTGTCGCTAGCAAATTACGGTCTCTAAGAGAAAATAGCGCTCCGGGAGTCGACAAGATCAGACCCAAAGTTCTTAAAACTCTTGCTCCCACCATAGCAGCACACTTCGCAAGCTTTTTCCAAAGTCTACTCAATTCCCAAACCCTTCCGTCTGAGTGGAAAAGCGTGATAGTCACTCCGATATACAAAGGAGGTAAG